GCCAATGTTTAAAGGGACTGTTAAAGTAATTTTAAATTATCATCTATTCAAAGCGCAATTCCTAACTGTACCTTTAAGCCTTTCAGCTGATTAACAATGTTGTTGTTCTATCTTAAAAAAAAAATTTTTCTTTATATTTTCTTCCCTTTTTCTTCTTATTAATACAAAACTGCAATTAAAAATAATCAAACTTTGAAATGGAAACACTGGGATAACTCCATCGTGAATCGGACATGCCACACACTCCTCTGCCGCTTTATTAATTGTAAATTGGCGGTACAGTCCAAAGTAGGACTGCAAAGGTTGGCCCAGCTCAGATATTCAAATGTACGTCGGTGGGGCGTGGCCACTCTATGAATAAAGAGTAAATTAAAATTATGTTTACAATCGATCCCTTTTAGCGCAGTAATATAACGTTCAAAATAATAATTAAAGACTGGGAACTTTGAAATGCCAAAAACACCATTATAACAAATTAATCGCAGTTGGAATGGAATTCGTTACATTAATCGTGTTATATTCTCTAATATGTTGTTTTTATTATTCTGAAATCAATAATATTTGTTTGTTTATATGTATTGTGTATATGTATTGTAAATTAGGTCCAATTGGATACACACTTTACAGTTTAAATATCCGGCATAGAGAGATCAGGGTCTTGTGGACATTGAGGGGGCATGGGGGAGGATCATTATTGTTACAGAAGGTGGGGGGCTAAGGGGTAAAGGGAGGGGGGGGGGTGAGAGTTGAGAATAGAGAAATGTACGTGTGAGGGGTTGATTAGGATATGTGTTAGGTTTAAAGAAGGCATGGACGTAATTTTTTAAAGTTTTCTTCCGTTATAGATTGGTAAAAAAGAAAACGTAATTTTTTTATCTAAACAAAGTGTTCAATTCTGACAATTTCATTCAATTCAAGGAACTATTACAGTGAATCGCAATTTAAAAATTCTCAATTTTCAGATTGAAAAACAAGGAGTTCTTCATCATTTCTACTCAGATGTTGGAAATCTGTAATGCCTCTCTTTAAATTATGAAAACAGTCCCTTTAAATGTATTGCTGAAAAAGCTAAAATTGTCCGAACCAATTTTTCAGGTTTAGGAAATATATGTATAATCAGGATACTTTTATCTACAATTGTCCCCCTCTTTTGTAACAATTAAGCTTTGTGGTAATCGAAAAGAATTGACTGTAAATAGCGCTAATCCTGTACTGTGCATACAATAGCGCTAATCCTGTACTGTGCATACAATAGCGCTAATCCTATACTGTGCATACAATAGCGCTAATCCTGTACTGTGCATAAATTAAAAATACATTTTACTGTGGTGGTTTATATGCTTTCTTTCTTTAATGAAAACAATGGCGGAGAAGAGATTAAAGAGGAAATGAAGTGAAAAGATATCAATGAAGATGATTAATGGATAGAACATTAGAACAGTGCAATATATCAAGAAAATGATATTAAGTAACTATCATCAAACATAGTAAATAACATATTTCTGAAGATTGTGAAAACCTAAATGACCACCCCACCCCTTTTTTTAAATACCTCAAAAAGTAAAGGGGGCCAAGCTCATAGGATCAATTTAAATCCCTCATTTTGTTTATTTACACTCTACCCCGACTGTGCTTGATGCCACTTCCCTCATCTATCAGGATACTTTTATCTACAATTGGTTCTTTAAAGAAAATATATGTATAATCAGGATACTTTTATCTACAATTGGTTGTTTAAAGAATTGAGTCTTTTCCACAAACTCAAATTTTCTGATCCGTATATCTTTTCAACCTGATGATGTACACCTTTGATATTTCAAACTTAGATTATTAAATCTGACAGAAATCGTAATTTGAAATATCCAAGGTCCACGACATTTAGATGCAAACATATAGGGATTAGAAAATCAGAGTGTGTGGCAAGAACTCAATTCCTTTACTCCAATATCTAAATTATAAATTAAAGAGAGATCAATTGCACATAAAGTGTGGAAGAAAGCATAAAGTTAAAATGAGCAACAAATTTAATTTTCAATATTTTTAAATAGATCCACTTATAATTCACGCTCCCACCTTTAAAAATGCAATTCTTTGCATTTGCTGGGAAGTGGCAAAAATGGTTGAAAGTGGTTGAAAGTGGTTGAAATCATATTATTCATATTATGATATTTTACACTTATAAATGTATTTTTTATAATCCGTTTTTTGTGAGATTATAGCTTTCTTAAATCATGAAAGTATTGTCTTGGTTCCTTCTGTTTTATTTGGTAAAAAAGCCTAAAATACTATTTGAAAGGGAAATGTTCGCCCTTCCAGATCTTCCCCAGATCTTCCCCCACCTTTTCTATTTATTTTCCTGGTTTTCATACTTTTCTCGCAATCTTTTCGCTTTGTTCCAAGAAAGTTAATGAAGTTGAGTTTTCTATGTTTATCTTTCTGAAACAATGCATGCATACTGCAGGCTCTACAGTTCTACACTCTTTCAGATCTTAACCTTTTAAATGCATTTTTATTTTCAAAAATCGAGGAAAAAATGTAAATATTAGGTGTTTCGGAAAACATTTTTTCACTTTTTAAAAAATTTTCAGTTTAATTTTAATGTTACCTTCAAGCCCTGTCATGTTTTTAAAGTTCACTTAATCTGTGCCGGAATATTTTCAGTTGATGTTAATCAGATCTTTGTTGTAATAATGTATGGAGCGTTCTCCCGAAAGTTATCAGCTTTGTTCGTCACAGAAAGAAAATTTTACCATTGGTCTCAAACAACTTGATACATCACAGTCTGTTTTAGACCCTTTAAGAGCTATCAAAAGAAAAAAGAGCTATTGAGTATTGTAGGTGTAAAGGATGTATCTGGTTTTGATTTACATTTGATATCCATAATCAATGCCCTTTGGTCCTTAATCCATTTAACCCAGATCTTTGTCATTTCTAAATTTTGCTTTACAGCTTTGTTTACAATGTAAAAGCCTTTATCTGTCTGGAAAACATACTTTTTGAACCCTGGATAATATGGTTTGAATAATTATCAATATTTTCTACCATTTTTAGGGTCTTCATGGTCTTTTTCCGCCCGGCCATGTCATAATCCATAAATATTAATTTTTTCCTTTTTAAACCATCATTAAAGTTCATAAAGTTGTTTAAAAATACGTTAAAAAATGTTTCAGAGTTCTGTTTAGTTTTTGCATCGTCTAATTAAAACATTTTGGGTAACCGAGCCTCCAAAGTGTCAGGTTCTCTGATCAATATTCTAGATATTTCTATGCTGTGATAACGAAACTAATCCACCTTCAGAAGAATGCTCCTTACATCACAACAACAATCTGACGCCAACCTTACCAAAAATTTATCCGGTATAAAAAAGTGAAGTTTAAAAATAAAATTTTACAAATGAGACTTCTAGATGTACCCCTAAAACCCCTAAAAAAATAGCGAAACTTATTTATCGCACCTCGTACAAATTATATTTTCTTAAAAAAAAAGTTTTTGTGATTCAGAACTTTTCAGAATATGTTTCGATAAAATCAAAAAATCCCCCAAAAAATATAGGAATTCTTCAGTTATAAGGAATATTTATGTCAAGATAAGCCGTAACGGCCTAGATAGAAACTTCTCTGAAAAAAAGTTTTCGAAACTTAAATTTGGAACTAAAATGACCTCAAAAGGAGAGATATTTGGGGAGAAAGTCTTCCAGGTTGAGACTTTTTTCCAGGACTTTTTTCACTGAAACGTTTTCGGAAAGAAAGTCATGTTTTTGATGAAAAAGCAGGTTGAAGCGAAAAAACCTGGTTAAAATAGACTATTATTGTTGAGAAATTATCAGGCTAAGAATTTACCCAACAATATCCAAAGAGAGTCATAAAGGATTTTTTACCGCTCTAGAAAACCAAGTATATACCTTTATCTATATATATTTTATATGTAAACAGTAGAAATCTCTGTTTGTGTGTTTTTTTTCGTTTTTTTAGGTATGTCTGATTATATCTCAGGAATCCTTAAACCAATTTGCCTAAAACTTGTATTGGGGAACTCGACGTAGAACTACAGAAATATTCTTAGTTTGTTTCACAGATATTAAATTGTATGGGTTGAGTTTTTAGATAAAGTTTAGAATTGCAGGCAAAGCTGGGTTCCGAAGCTATTATTTAATAAATCATAAGCCATGTATATGCAAATCATATACAGATGGAAAGTATAAAATATTCAAAACAATTAAATTTTACAATTTTTTTTATTTTAAATTTCATTTGCAGATGCTGTTTCTGCAAAACTGCAGAAACTATATAAAAGCTAGGATATTTTATAGTTTTATATTTTTAACGGGCCACAAGATTTTTTGTAACACAATTAAATTCATAGCTTAAAACAAGAAGAGTTAACTTGTAAGAAAAATGAATGCCTTAAAATATGATCATGTGGTGATTTTGTGTATTCATGTATATCAGTTTGGTGTGATTTAAGACACACTAAGGTTAAGAAAGCCTGGAATGTATAATGTGAATAATTTCTTTAAAGAAAATATATGTATAATCAGGATACTTTTATCTACAATTGGTTCTTTAAAGAAAATATATGNGGGGGAGATTTGAAGGAATGGAGCGCTTTGAAATATCTAAGAAAATCATAGTTTGTAGCAACTCAAAGTAAAGACTCAATTTCTTTGTCTGTATGTTTAAAATAACTATGGAAACGGCTGAATCGAAATCCAATTACACCATGCAGAAATGAATAAAAGGAAAATGTTTGGATTATTCTAGAAGTAACAAAGTAATCAAGATTATCACCTATAAAAAGTTGTAATTGAATATGAAATAGTTCTTTGCCCGTAGTACTGAAAACTACGCTTTATTTGAAGTACTGACCCAACTATTAGGCAGCTTGAGCAAGTAGTGTCAGTACTCAAAATACACACAGACTACGATCATAGCAAAACGGGACAGAGGGATTCAATTCCCTCTAAGGAGATTATAAATATGGTAAAATGATATAATCGGATGATATAATTTAATATTTTATTAAAATGAATAATAAATAATAACATTTTCACTCAATCAATCATTCATGCTCGTCTTTGGTTACATACAAAATATCACAGGTGTATTGGTAGAGCTGGGGTTGTTGTGTACATCTGTACAGTTTGTGTACAATACAGGACTAGCAGCAAGAGAAGAAAGCAGGGGTTTATACAGTATGTTCCTGAGGAGATACGCGGGTCAGCACCTAGAAACAAAATAGTTCAAAAAAAATTTCAAAACCCAGTTTAAATCGCTTTTAAAGTCTTAATAATACAGGGTTACTTGTAAACGATGAGACTCACAGTGACGGAAACGGAGGGTTGAAAATTATAGACGGTTCTTGGCCTTAAAAATATTGATGATTTGGAAAATTGTAAAAATGCGGAAAATTTTCAGGAAAAAATTAATAAATTCTGTAAAGTCGTATCTCAGATGCCATCCTTTGTGGGTAACCTTGTACTGTATCTTGTTGAGAACGGCTCAATGTGAAAATCAATCTCTTCAGTTTCTCATCCAACTTATCGGACCTTGAAGGTTTAAGTTTCCAAGTTTTCCCGCTCAAAACTATAAACTAACCAGAGAGTAAGTTTGAGTTTAGAATCCTTCACCCCTAGCTTTTTAGTGTTATGGTTTACGGCAATGTGTTCTACATTGCTAGCTCCTGGAGTTCAAACAAATTTATTTTATACCCGACCCAGTTTTCTCTTAGAAAATTATATTTAAAATTGGAATGTTTCTGTAACAGCCACTGAAACTAGAATATTCCCTTTCATATTGAAATTTGGCAAAATGAGAATTTTTACTTTTATCCCTGCAATAAACTTGCACAATAACAGTTAAATTAGCACATATGCAGATCTATCCTGGGAAACAGTGCAAAACTAAACTACAATATATTGTGTAAGAAGAAAGGTGAGGATAAAACAACATTTCGGAAATGTCAAGAGTTAACAGAACTTGAATAAACAGAAGAAAATAAATTAAATAACTTTCTCTTCAAGAGACTATCGTTGAAATTTCAAATAACCATCTATTAAAAGAGGTTTACCCTTTAAACCTTTATCAGATCAATAAGAATAAATCGTTGTTATTTTAGCTTTAAAGGGTTTTATTCTTGTAATTTCCTCCATTGTTTCTGCAGCAGTCCCTGTAAAACTTACTTATTGTAGGACTGATGACTAGTTCTTCTTTAATGATAAAATCTGTTCCAGGGATAGAAATCTCACAGCCAAGCTGTACTCCTCTTTAAATAATAATTATATTATTATTATTATTATTATTATTATTATTATTATTATTATTATTATTATTATTATTATTATTATTATTATTAATTATTATTAATATTATTATCATCTAACCTGATGGACTCTGTGTGTAGTGATGTAGAGAGTAGAATAGAGAAAAGTCCATCTGAATTCTCCTCCACGACAGTTTCTGCGCTCTCACCGTCTAATCCGCTGAAAATACATAATGTAAGCATTAAATAATGAAAAGAAAATATCTTACAGTAAGACACATAAAAATGTGGAATAGGAACCCCTTGACCGATTTGCCTCAAATATTGATTGGTGAACCCGGGAGAGCCACAGAAAAATTATTAGCTCGGTTTTGAGATTATAAGAATTTAGTGGGTTGACTTTTATCGGGAAAAATAGATAGATTTGTAATTTACGACCATGTGCGGGTAAACGGCGGCAGTAACTATGAGTACCCTAGGCAATGCTGGGTTCCCCAGCTAGTAATTTATAAAACTAAAAAGTAAAATTGCTGAAAATAATTGTTTAATCCTGACTGCTTAATCCGAATATCCACTGTGGAACCTATCAATTTTAGTCCTTAATCAACTCTTTTTCTCTCTCTTTGGATATCCGTTCATAGTTTTCTCCAATGAGAGTGCAGGAATATAGTTCGTAAATTGTATTGACCAATGACAGCCTTGAAAATAAATTCTATCCACCGCAATTTTTAACAAATAAGTAATAATACGTTAGAGATTTTTAAAAACTAATTTAACTAATGTATTAATAAATAAATGGGTGAGAAATTAAGTGAAGGCCCTTCCAGTCAAGAAAACGAACAAATTAAATTTGTTGATCTAAATAATTAATCTTGAGACTAACATAATCTCGAGATTATGTTAGTCTCGAAATTAGCAAAAAGAGAGGATTAAGCATTAATCCTGATATCCACCATTCTAAAGCTCCCAGCTCAGGTTATATAGATACCATCTACACAAGGATCTAGATAACTATGCAAATTATACATCAATTTTCATAACTGGGATTCTCGCAACGCATAAGCCTTTGAGTTACCTTAATTATTTACTTATAATTTTTTGTAGCCCTAGACATTTGCATTTGGAACTACAAAGCGCTTGGTTATAGATTTAGATTTCAGGGAGTAATTGGCAAAAGGAAATGAGTTTTTGCCAGAAACTCAAATTTTAAAATCTTTATATTTATACAACCTGATGTTGTAGACCTTGGATATTTCAAACTTATACTATTTGATCTAACAGAATTCTAAGTTTGAAATAACGACTTTGTGTTGCAAAGAAATAGAGATTAGAAAATTTGAGCTGGTTGCAAAACTCACTTCCTTTGGAGAGTTTTAGCCTTAAGAAATTAGAGAGTCGAGTGTACATTTTACAATATTTGGGACTTGGATTTAACTACGCAATCAAAGTATTACATACACGATTTTTTACCCTAAAAACATGTTTTGACAAGGAAAACTGAATTGTTGACATGCGGTAACAAAAGTGATGATCTGATTTTTCAAATCCTTTTATGCATGTATTGCATACTGCTACTGCAGAAAATATTACGTATTTCAAGAAAATATTACGTATTTCAAGAAAATATTACGTATTTCAAGAAAATATTACGTATTTCAAGAAAATATTACGTATTTCAAGAAAATATTACGTATTTCAAGAAAATATTACGTATTTCAAGAAAATATTACGTATTTCAAGAAAATATTACGTATTTCAAGAAAAATGTCAAATTAATTTGCCTACGTTAAAGATTACACTTTTTAAAAGAATTTAAAGTTTAAGAACAATGTTATGTAATTGTGCAGGAAAGCTGTTGTGTTCAATCTATCGCGCAACAGACGAAAATGTGAAGAAAAATGTTAACATTTTATGCACAGAATTGGCATCAGATTCCACAAATAGCAAGGTTGCGTCAGCAAAGGGGAAATTTTCAGTGATTTATTAAAAAAGCTATTTTACGTCGAAATCTTTCATTTTGAAAAAAAGCATGTTGAGTTTTTCGTGCATAAACAAATATGAAAGCAATAAGGAAAGGCTAAAGGATATATTTCATTTTTTTTAATTTGAAGAACTCATTCTTGCTTTAGAACTATCTATACCAAGATGAGATAAATAAGAAGAAAATTCTCCTTGATGAATATCGAATATGAAAGAAAATTTATAAAGAAATGACATTGCCATCTTTGCAAGGAGGGTCACTTGAAATTACGTTTACAGTCCCTTTAAAGGGAGTGTTCGCGAAAAGTGAAGGGGGGGGGGGGGGGGGGGGGTATAGGCTTGCGGCGAAAAATAAGCGCTTTGATTGCTACTAATCTTACTTCTATCTGTTGCGTCTATAAGGAGAAAATTGTTAAAAATGACTTATACTGAAGAATGTAGCGTCCATACAAATTCAGAAAGTTGCAACATTCAACTTGGATCGTAGAATGATCAATATTTAATTCCAAACTTTCATTCAGATAATACAAACAACAGTCGTCGATTATTTTTAGCTTCTTTTTCGCCGTAAGCCTATACCCCCTTTCATTTTTCGCGAACACTCCCTTTAGAGGTGCAATAATCAAGCAAAAAATGCTTTCCCTCAATCTTTTAATCTATTATATCCGTGATAAATGCATAAAAAGTTATTTAATTAAACTTTAATCGCAGAATAAACTATGAAAAACACCGGATTATCTAGAAACTTAGTTAATTTTTTATATAAAGTAAATACGAGGAAGATATCGTCGAAAATGCGTTAAATTTTGACAATTTACTTCATTGTTTCTTCAGGATAAGTCTACAGGGTTATATTGTGAATCAGACATGACACTATTTTTAAAAGGAGGGTTACTTGAATTAATAATCCCCTTTCCGGTTAGTTATGCAAGGGAGACATTTTACGGTCTAAAGATTTTGATAAAACTAACCTCACAAATAATGCATTTTTTCTCTCACCTTTTTCTTTCTTATTTCCTTTTTACTCTTAAACCTTTTTAATACAGAAAAAACGTTGAAAAAATTGTTGAGTTTTTAAATAAATCTCGGTTAATCTTTGCTATGACATAACATATATTTGATGATATTAGGTCTTTAATAAATGGTCAGTAGACCCCCAGACCAAGCATTCAACTTTCAAGCTTTAAAGGGACTGTGCACTTTATTCGTTCAAGTCTTTTCACACTTGACAGGATTTAGTTCTAGGTATAGTTCTATCCTGGAATTATTTTCTTAGTTCCAGTTCTATCCTGGAGTAGTTTTCTAGTTCGAGTTCTATCCTAGAGTAGCTTCCTAGTTATTTGTGTATCTTGGAACAGTTTTTTAGTGCTAGTTCTAACTTTGAGAAGCTTCCTAGTTCTATTCTGGAGTGGTTTCCAGTCCTTGTACTATTCGGAGTAGTTTCCTAGTCCTAGTTCTGTTCTGGAGTGGTTTTTATTTCTATCCTAGAGAAGTTTCCTAGTTCTAAGTCTATCCTGAAACAGTTTCCTAGTGCTAGTTCTATTCTGGAGTGGTTTCGTAGCCCTAGGTCTATTCTGGAGTGGTTTCCTAGTTCTAGTTCTATCCTAGAGAAGTTTCCTAGTTCTAAGTCTATTCTGGAACAGCTTCCTAGTGCTAGTTCTAACTTTGAGCAGTTTCCTAGTCCTAGTTCTGTTCTGGAGTGGTTTCCTAGTTCTAGTTCTATCCTAGAGAAGTTTCCTAGTTCTAAGTCTATTCTGGAACAGTTTCCTCGTGCTAGTTCTAATCTGGAGAAGTTTCCTAACCCTAGGTCTATCCTGAGTGTTTTATAGTTTTTAGTTCTCAAATCAGAGGAGCTGCTCGCGTAGACATTTATTCTGAGAAACACTTGTCTAGAATCACGTGTTTAGCTTTCATTTGTCATACATAAAATTCTGGCAAAGGGATGTCTACCAAAGGTTTATTCAGTCAAAACGTGACAACGATGATTACAGGAATTGTTTGCAAAAATAAAAGAAGCTAGCACAATCAGAACTGAAATCTCAAATCTCATTATCTCACAAGCACTCCTTTAAAATATAATAATGGGTTCGAAATAAAAGCTTGCTTGCATTGAACAAAAGTATTATCATTTAAAACTCTGAGAGAAACCTTGTCTAAGATCTGAGTAATTTGAAAGTTCTAATTCTATTCTAGAGTATTTTCTAACTTTTTCATCCTGTTTAACAACTTTTTAACTAATTTAAACACTTTTATTCTCATCAACACAGTAACTAATAATTAAGCAATACTAATCCATTGTTTATAGCACTTTGTACTTTGTACCGCTCTATCTCACTTTTACTTTTTGGGTAGCCCTAAACATCTACATTTTAGAACGTTAAAGCACTTGTTTTTAGCTTTAATTTTCAAGACGTAATCAGCAAATTTCTCATTTTTTGTGTGAGGGCTTGCAAACCTTTAAATCATAGTGAATTGGTTTAGTAAGTCTATAACTTTATATAGCCTGTGTATACAACAAGGTGGTCTATTGTTGTCTATTTACAGTCTGTATAAAGACCACAATAGACCACCTTGTTGTATACAGTAGTCGTTTGTAGTAGCACATCCAAATGGTCTAGTTATGTATATTCATTCTATGGATGAGCACATCTTGGTTCTAATAGTTATGTCATATATAGTCTTTGGAAGAGCGCACTTTGGGTCTAATAGTTCTGTCAAAGATAGTCTTTGGAAGAGCTCAGTTCGGCTGTAATAGTTCTGTCAAATATAGTATTTGGAAGAGCGCATCAAGGTTCTAATAGTTCTGTCATATATAGTCTTCGGAAGAGCGTATCTAGGTACTAATAGTTCTGTCAAATATAATCTTTGGAAGAGCGCATCTAGGTACTAATAGTTCTGTCAAATATAATCTTTGGAAGAGCTCAGTTCGGTTGTAATAGTTCTGTCATTTATAATCTTTGAAAGAGCGCATCTAGGTTCTAATAGTTTTGTCAAATATCGTCTTGAGAACAGTGCATTTTGGGTCAAATAGCTCTGTCAAATATAGTCTTTTGAAGAACTCAGTTCGGTTGTAATAGTTCTGTCATTTATAGTCTTCGGAAGAGCTCAGTTCGGTTTTAATAGTTCTATCATTTATAGTCTTTGGAAGAGCGCATCTAGGTTCTAATAGTTCTGTCAAATATAGTCTTTGGAAGAGCTCAGTTCGGTTGTAATAGTTCTGTCATATATAGTCTTTGGAAGTGCGCATCTAGGTTCTAATAGTTCTGTCATATATAGTCTTTGGAAGAGCTCAGTTTGGTTGTAATAGTTCTGTCATTTATCGTCTTGAGAACAATGCATTTTGGGTCAAATAGCTCTGTCAAATATAGTCTTTTGAAGAGCTCAGTTCGGTTGTAATAGTTCGGTCATTTATAGTCTTCGGAAGAGCTCAGTTCGGCTGTAATAGTTCTATCATTTATAGTCTTTGGAAGAGCGCATCTAGGTTCTAATAGTTCTGTCAAATATAATCTTTGGAAGAGCGCATCTAGGTACTAATAGTTATTTCAAATATAATCTTTGGAAGAGCTCAGTTCGGTTGTAATAGTTCTGTCATTTAAAGTCTTTGGAAGAGCGCATCTAGGTTCTAATAGTTCTGTCAAATATAGTCTTTGGAAGAGCTCAGTTCGGTTGTAATAGTTCTGTCATATATAGTCTTTGGAAGAGCGCATCTAGGTTCTAATAGTTCTGTCATATATAGTCTTTGGAAGAGCTCAGTTCGGTTGTAATAGTTCTGTCATTTATAGTCTTCAGAAGAGCGCATCTAGGTTCTAATATGTCTGTCATATATAGTCTTTGGAAGAGCTCAGTTCGGTTGTAATAGTTCTGTCATTTATAGTCTTCAGAAGAGCGCATCTAGGTTCTAATATGTCTGTCATATATAGTCTTTGGAAGAGCTCAGTTCGGTTGTAATAGTTCTGTCATTTATAGTCTTCAGAAGAGCGCATCTAGGTTCTAATAGTTCTGTCATATATAGTCTTTGGAAGAGCTCAGTTCGGTTGTAATAGTTCTGTCATTTATAGTCTTCAGAAGAGCGCATCTAGGTTCTAATATGTCTGTCATATATAGTCTTTGGAAGAGCTCAGTTCAAGCAAGGTTTAAAGATAAAACAAATATATTTTATCCAAGGTTTAAAGATAAAACCAATATATTTCAAGCAAGGTTTAGGAATAAAACAAATATATTTCAAGCAAGGTTTAAAGATAAAACAAATATATTTCATCCAAGGTTTAGGAATAAAACAAATATATTTCAAGCAAGGTTTAAGAATAAAAGAAATATATTTCAAGCAAGGTTTAAATTTAAAACAAATATATTTCAAGCAAGGTTTAAAGATCAAAAAATATATTTCACCCAATGTTTAGGGAAAAAACAAATATTTTTCACCCAATGTTTAAGAATATAACAATATTTCAGACAAGGTTAAAAAATAAGACGAAAATTAAATATATATATATATTTTAAAATAAAGATATAAACTATTAATATATAGGTTTAAAATAAAAAAAATATAATTCGCCCAAATTCCCAAAAATAAATAAATTTCAAGCAAGGTTTAAGAATAAAATAAAAACAAAATAGAAAATTTAAAACCTTAAATTTCAAAATAAATTTCAAAATGTGTGAATTTAAATTCAAAATATTATAAATATACACAAGACCAATTCATCTGTGTCATGTATCTGTTGGCAGTTTCAACTATATTTTAATATAAATTCATATTTTGAACCAACGAGTGGAAAAAGTGTTTACTGACAGACTGTATTCTAAATTCAATAATATGATATTAAAAACATCATTTGGAACTTTGCCCTACAAATCCCGTTTTTTTACTTTTACTGCCTTAAACCACGCAAAATAGATTAAAGTTGTATGGTTTTGGTCAGATATATGAATTGAGATCATTAAATGTGTTTATCAGTTACAATTTAAGTCCATTTCAATCTTGATTTAGGCAAAAAGTTTGTTTCGAAATATTTAGTCAACAAGTGAACTTTTAACTTTACAAAATTGATAACAGGTTAAGTGCGCCAATCCCATCCTGCAAAGATTTAAGGCTGATGACCCATCCATCCAAAAATTAATAGCGCCCTTTTTTACGCAGATTCAGCGTGTGACGGTTTGATATCATTTAATTCCAATCCGATGATGAGTTTTTCTTTTATTTGAGTTTTGTTAGCTATGATTTCTTACAGAAAAAGATTAGGGATTTACCTATCCAAAAACATAACTTGATATGTGTAACCAATTATATTCAGTATCGTTAATTAACTTAGGGCCAACCACTCAAAACAACCATCCTGGTTAGGCGGGTCCAAACTGCATAGTAAATTGTGATTGCTTATTTGTAATATATATCATGCTTTGTAGTTGAATAAAAATATGAATTAAATATGAATGTAAAGTATGCGTACCCATCCTTAATTAGTTATTAATTTGATTTTAAGTGCATGCTTTATAGTGTTCTTTCAAAGAACTGATTACTCGCTTCTAATTTTCTAATCTTTTAATCTTTACAACCTAATGTTGAAAACTATTGATATTCAAACCATGAATAATTTTTGATCAAGTAGTCAAAGTTTAAAATATTACAGGTTTACACCATCATGTTGCAAAGATTTAGGCGATTAATCATTTCCTTTACCATGATTTAAAACCTACCCGTCCTTCCAGTAAACTCTAGCTGTAGGAGAAGGATAGATTCCGTCCGCACTACAAGAGATCTTAGTTCTCTCCTCTCCTTCAGAACTCTCATGGCTGAACTTCACTGTTGAAGGGGGAACTACAAGTATCATTATCATTAGTGTTATCATTTTTTTGATGTATGATTATAATATGAATTGTTAGTTCTGCAGAGAGAGGTGCCAACAAATTATTTGTTCATCTAAATATTATCATTTTAGTAGAAAGGAACAGGAGGTTATAATATGCCATTTTTAGGATGATATCTATATTAATATCTTTATTTTTTTTTAAATAATAATAGTTTATATTATAGTTTATTATCATTATTCTATTCTTTTTACCAGTATTATTATTTTTTTTATCATTATTATAACTGAAATTTGAATGATTTATTTATATTTAAATTGTGCAAACAGTATCATGATTAATATTTTCTAAGTTTTCAAACTTGAAAGAAATATCATAGTTTTGAATTTCAGCTTTTATCCTTTTATCGCTGAGATGACAGTTATAAATTCCTATTTTAAACTTTTAAAAGTTATTAAATTGAAAGAATTATCTATTTCATATTTCACTCTTTTCTTTAGAATTTTCCACTATTAACTCTAGTGTAAACTAGCTTCTAGGGTTTATCATATACAATATATTATACATTCTGCAGACATAAAGGAAACATTTTAGTTTGGTTAATGCTTTAATAAATCTCAGTTAAAAATCTTTCCACCTCAGTAGGTGTTAATAGGTTCTTAAAGTTTTTTAATGGTTATTAACGTTTTGTTATGTGCAGATTAGATTTTATTTTCTTATGCATGCTCTCGCTAGTGCATGCTCTCGCTAGTGCATGGCTCAAACTTTGGTTTACACTTAAGCAAAAACTTTGACAAAGATTGAAATTAATTTTTCTTAAAATCCCAAATTGAGTTATTCACTAAATAACACAATGTGAACAAGA